TAAGATACAAGTTCTGTTGTTTGAAGATATTAATAAGTATTTCATGTATTTGTTTTTTAAATAAATTTCTATGGGCAGATTTTTTAATACTGTCAGGTAAAGCATTCAATAGCTGCACGCCAAAGTGGGAAAAAGAATTCTTAAGTTGTTCAAGACGATGGAAACTCGGGAAAGAAATCACCGTAATATTTGAAAGGTACATACATTGCGATCGAATTCTGTTAGGAGTCGAGGACTTCGATGAGCTATTAACAACTAACACATAACAACTAAACGGAGGAGAGCAAGCCCAATAATACGTCAGTCAACTTTGGTGGCTGCAAGGGAGGAACAAATGTTTCTACAAAAATTAATAACGAAGCGGTGCTCAACATAGTTGTTTACATAGTGAAGTTGGTCTGACTTAAAAAAATTCCCTTTGATCTTTCGGTAGTTAAAAATGCGATACGTTTTGATTATGATAAGGAAGGAGGATACCCTGCACAAAGCAGTTGATTAAAATGGTTGGAATGTCTTTTAGTGGAGGTGTTTTAAGAATCACAAAGCAAATACGAGGGGAACCGTTTTGTATCTAAATAAAATGCTGTCAGACGTGGCAAATTCCGCGCATTTTCATCCTACCACTGTAAATTGTTTGTGTAAATCAAAAAGTGATTTCTAAGCATAATCTCGAAATTTGTGAAAATTAGTGCGAGTCAGCCCACACGATCGCTATTTGTTCATTGGCACATTTTAAGACCACGAAACACTGTTATAAATCTGTGTGATCGCGGTTACGCAGTACATTCTCACGATCTTTGCTACTCATCAGCGTCTTAAAAGTACTTTTGCCCGTCCTCCGTAAACTTGTCTCGCTCGATTCAGAGGCGCAAGGAAGAGACAAATTAGTGTTCCCTGTGAAAGATCTACCCTCAAAACAAAACGACCAAAAATTATCCAGAAATGCTGTTGATTTTTATTAATCGATCTCAAAAACTTGTAAGCGCAAAGCTGATGTAAGCTTCTTAAAACACAATAAGGTTTCCCCCCTAGAGAATCGTACGATCGAGAGTCCTGAATTCCTTTGTGGGATAACATTTTCAACATGAGAAAACCTTGCCCATTTATTTCCTCGATACGATTTATCGAACGCGTACGGAAACAGGTTAATTGAGTAGCCAACCGAACTCGTGAAAACTACAACTCTTGTTGCGAAAGAAGTATCAGTTTTTACAGATGTTTTGAAATCCACAAATCATTTTGAAGATCTGTTACATTTCTATGAGCAATTTCATGAAATTGTTTCTCCATCGAGAATAGTTCGTAGCTTCACGTGGAAGTTGTAGTAATTCACATAGTACATTCTTACTCACCTGATGCCAACATCAGCGTCGCTACTACAAAGGCATACAGCGAAGATTTACGGGACAGCGTCAGACAATTATTGCACGCGAAAGAATCCATCCTAATTTCTTGCCTCTGTGTAATAAATAATCGTCGTTAATAACTCCGTCACTAGAGCAATCGCGAATGAGGGGAAGGAATGAATGAAGTTATATTAATTAGTTACACAGGAACTAAATATCCTAACTGAATGCCCAGCCTTCCATGTCGCCGGGGGCCAATCAGGGCCAACACGTTACAAAGTACACCGGAAATGAAAACAACATCCTTGCAACGCATCATCTGCAACGCGGTTTCCAATTTCATTTTTACCACTTTGAATGAATGTTACTCATTTCATAACTCGATAAATTAAATGGTAATTTTTCGCGAAAGTTTCACGAAAAAAAAAAGCTGTAAATATCCAGTTTCCATTCTACAAATTCTACAACTTGATTCTCAGAAATCCACCAGTGACCTTTCTGCGCTAATGCCATTTAGTATATGTCCATCTACGTGAAAACCCAACCCAGATTTTTTTAATCTTCCTGTTTTTTTGTTTTGTTTTTTGTTTGTTTTTGTTTTGTTTTGTCATCAACACACACCCAAAGAGCCCCGGGTGAAGTATAATATCTGATATCTTAGGAATACTTGTAATATATTCCTAGCTATTCATATACAAACCACACAATACCTTCTTTGTCACACTCATCACTTACATATTTACCCAGTGGAATCTAACGAAAACGTGTGGTGTTCTCAACTCTCCATCCGCAAAATTTATACGATTGTGTATCTAGAAAATATCACTAAATCTAAACCGTACGCCTAAAGGCTGCGCTCAAAGAGCTCCAAAATAGCCCGACTGAGAAGGAAGAGCCAAATGTCAAAGAAAAGAGTTGTTAACTTGTAGCTGGGAATAAACGAAGAAATAGAAGCTTTGATACAAAGTGTAAGTCGTGAAAGAATTTGTCTTCCTGTAGCTCACTTCTTTCTTAGAATTCAATCTTCCGCTTACATGTAGTCTGAATTTCAGCCGTCTCTTCCCTTTAGCTGCTATGTGCGGCTTTTTCACCTCCACGTTTCCGGTTTCTCCTGTAACAGTTGCATTGGTTTTAAAATCGAAATATTACCACGTTAGAAATCTGTTATCGAATATTGACTTGTTGACTGACTGTATAGATAGTGTCTGGTATAATTTCACTTTACTGCGCGGTTCAAGAGCTTTAATTAACAGCTGCTGCGACATGACGTCACGTTCATGACGTAAATTAGGAGCAATTATGCAAAAATGTGCTGTGTAAGAAATGGAGATGTTTTTTGGTGAAAATACAACTACAACATCATAATTTCAAGTACAAAAGTGCATCACAACTTCAAGTGCGAAAGTTAATGATTTTTAAAGAGTCCAAGTATTGATCGATGGTCGCACAAGCAGAGGATGACTAAGTCAGTTTAAGATTCTCAAACCAGCCACGCAACGATTTTAAACTCGTCAGATGAATTCTTGCATAACATTCATAATCTACTTATACACGCCTATGAACTCGTTTGATTTTGTAATCTTCGTGATTAGAATTATTAGCAAAATTTCATATCAACTGAGCAGAGTGCGAACTCAGTCAGTGGTGTGATGCAAAATAGATCTATCAAGTCCTCCATATGTCCACACGCGGATAGTATATCCAGCTATTGGAGCTGAGAATGTGTTATATCCGAAAAAGTCACTTATAAAATGTTTAAGGGGACTAGATACGTAAGTTGCTAACAAGGTTGATCATCTTGAAGGATTTGACTTGAAAAGCGACACAATTATCACTAAAATTATCGCATAACAAGTATCACCCAATTTGCATCTTAAATATCTGACCAAAATAAAAATAATTTTCTTACCTTAGCTTGCTGGAAAGATTTATTTCGTCAAATTCTGATTTGTTGTTAAGCCTTGCCAGAGAGATTTCCTTGCCAGCTTGCTTTTTCAGAATTCTTATATATGACCTAAACCGGTGTGTTTGATCGTTTATACAGTATCGAGATTTTGCGGATCCTTGATTTGTATTAATCAATTAGCCGAAACGGAATTTCATGTATATCCGTTGCTCCGTTACGCCTTCATATTTGTCATAAATTTGGGATACATTTTGACAAGGAGTGGCATGAAGCAAAACCCGTATAACTGACAGTGGCCTTGTCATAATAAATGTCTATAAAGCCGGTGGCATTCAGTGGATGAAATACAAAATTAAATATGTCAGCGAAATTGAAATCTTAGGAGGTTTCTTGGCATTACAGCAATAGTCTTATTAAAGTCTATTTGAATTACGAAAGTTTTAGGTTATCTTTCACCGTTTTATTTAATCTGTTTGAAAGAAGTACAGCTATTTTTGCCTTTTTGTTCCCCTTTTTCTTCTTTTAAAGCTTATTGTTCCAGATCATTGTCAAGCGGCCGGAAAAAAAACAAGCGAGCCCCTAAAACAGAACTCCCACATGATTTCAACACGAGGTTTATTTTGCTGTTTCCAATTAACGCAGTGTAGGCTTCTTGTTTTAGGCTGTTATCGCTTACTTGTTTTTGACCTCCTTTTTAATAGGATCCTCTTGAGGTGCGTTCACCATACAAAACGTACACGACGAAGATTTCTTGAAGCTTCGAAAGCACGTCACGTGTGTGTAGCCTATGTGGCTTTTTAACATCAGAAATTCCGTTCCCCGACGGAAAGCTTCATAACCTCGATGCCTTCACCCCACTTTGCCGAAGAAGAAAAATTGAGATATTTATTGTGGCAGAGACTTGCCTGAAAGCGTCTAGAAAAGAGGAAACTTTTATCTGCTTCACATTTCTTAAAGGAAACGACGGTTCTTGTTTATGGATCGAGTTACACAGCTTTGAGAGGATGTTACACATTCTCCTCTCACCAAAAATTATGCAGAGAATTGTTAAATCAAATTAAATTTTAAAGTTAAACAATTGGCTAATATCGTCGTGATCATTTTAATCTCTTGCGATCTTCTTATCAACATATTTTGGTTGTTTCCGATTTCTAACCACTGACCACAAAATCATATCGCTCTGTTACACCGATCAGTTGAAGGCAATCAGGGATGGTCCACAGCAAAGTCTCTTACGAGATGTGATTCTCTTCCTTGGAGGTAAATTGCAATGACAGCGCTTCCATATTTTCATCACCGTTCTCGTAACTATATATGGCCGAGCGAAATTTCCGTATTAAGAAACACAGTACAAAAAAGATTTATCAACCTGTAATCGTTCTGCTCACCTTGCTATTAAATTTATAATGTACCAAAAGAAAATAGAATAGCACCTGATTACCTTCTTAATTTTTTTAAGGACCATCCGATCTCAGTTTGTTCAAAGCCACTCCTATCTTTTTACTTTTCTTTTGTGAAGTGAACTCGGAAACCCGGTTTTACCCCAAACCTCTAACAACATAATCAAAAATATTTCACTTGGTAAAGTTTAGCGAAGGTCACTTAAGAATGTCCCCTTCTTGGCTTTCATTTTACTGTATCATAATAGCCCCCGAGAACGATAAAATATTCAGTGTAATTGGTAACTTAAATACTGAATAAATTTTCAGATATCAAATTACTTTCTTTTATTTCATTTAATTCTTCTCAATAAAAATAAATATTATTTACAATTAATAATCAACCTTCAGGAGTCTGCGCCTTTTTGTCATCTTTTCTATATATTAATACTTAAATATTGTATGAATAAATAAATAATTAAAAAGGTTTATTAATAGGTACATATTAAATACACCTTTAAAGGAGGTCAGACATTGCAAGGGAAATATTTTATACTCTCTATCTCACATACCTAAGTATTATATATATTTTGACATTAATCTCGGAGCCAACTCGCAAACCTAACTTTCCGAAATAATGAAGACGTTGAAATATTTGATAAAACTGATCTTAGGCCTAAAATATCATTCCATGCTATAACGTATCCTTGCTTATCAGTTTAAGCAAAGAGATGGACTTCGTCGCAAGATACTGAAAGGTTTGCTGGCATCCAGTTTACACCACAGCTTGGCCTCCTTTCACGGTGGCCTCTACATGATGGCGCCCCGTTTCAGTTGATAGGTTTGTTACTGTCTCGCTGGTTGATGCACTGAAAATGTATTCGCTTGACTCCTTGCTGTTTAAATGAGCGCCTAGTGAAAAGAACGATCCACTCGGTTATTGACGGGCCGGACGGGTAGGCCAGAAGAAGATTCACATTTGGTGGTAAAGGAGATCATTGTCTCGAGTTCGAAATCGGATTTATTGGCACCGGCTTAGCTTTATTTGGCCCGAGTAAAGGTGTGGCTTATAGGGTACTGACAACGAGGCATCCGGCATGCCGTATACAGGGTTTCTTAGCTTTGATGATTTGTATAATTAACTCGTGCAATCTAAATTCCACACGCTTCACCATTGAAGCAAAATATAATTCCCATCTTCAGACATAATCGAGAGATTCTAAGTTAGTCTGTAAATACTGTACAGCGGTTTCTATATCTTTATATTTTCGTTCGCCGTGCTAAAACCCAGAAAGAATCGAAAAGAGTGGATGAAACCTACCTTTTGCTAAGCAGCTCCGTGTGATCCGATATATCAAACCAGCTTTCTTACGGTAAAGGATCGCTTCAAAAACCGAATATAACAAGACAAACTGTCCTATAAATATCATGATGTAAAACTCTTGCTTAAGTCCACCTGAAATGAGAAATCGTTAAATAACAAAGTTATTCCACCTTTTTTAGCTAAAAGAACCATTCTTTTAAATTTAACCTTTTTAACTTATAAATATGTGGTGGAGGGGGGAGGGGTAGG